ATATATATATATATATATATATATATATATATATATATATATATATAGAGTGCCTCTTTATTTTATCGCTGTTAATTAGTCGACAGGAAAACCTGTTTTATTCAAATCTTACGGAAGAAAAACAGCAAGAAAAGCTTCTTATGAACTTCTGGAAATCTTTGAAATATCTTAGGATATATTGTAATTGAATGTGACTTTATTAATTTTAGTATATAATCTACCAAAAAAAAAAATTTTATAAATAAACATTTAGATAAAAAAAAATAGAAGCTTATAAAGAGGGAGAGAAAGAAGGGAAGAGACGTTAAAACTAGCTAATGTCTCTCTCATAAGAGACTGCTTATATTTATAGTAAAAAGTATTATTCAAGTCGCAAATATTGTTGCCAATATAGAATCTTTTTTCTCTTTATTTGACATAAATAATTATTACCAGTTTTGTTTTTATTTTCACTAATAAGACTTTCTTATTCAATAATAATACTCAGTGTTCCTTGCAAGTTGCCTGAATATTGTAAAGTCCGTTAAACATTAAATTATAATAATGGCTGAGACACAAAGAATGACTGTATATGGAAGACATCCTCCATGTGCTTATAGCAGCAGATTAGATGATCGCCGATCTAAAAGGTAAAAATTATTAATTATATGCTGTAATGTGCATCATTGAATTAATTATTTGTTTCCAGGATGGCATTACGACATGAAAGAAATAGAAAGCCGGATAAGCCGGATGATTTCGTATGTTACGAGTCGAGTGACGATGAAGCCGAGACGGTGACCGAAGGCAAACAGTTTTTGAGAACATCTTTCAACTTCGTAGATTATGTGCGGTCACGCGAAACGAATACGCGCGAAGTGCGGAATATTAATCAGGAATACGGTTCCCGTCATATATTGACGCATGATTTATTTAAGGAATATTCGGTCAGCTTGAACAACATGAACAAAGTATTCTGTTCGCAGTGGTTGAGTGATAGACAAGTAGTATTCGGTACTAAGTGCAATAAGCTTATGGTTTATGACGTAGCGACGCAAAAATTAGATCAGATTCCGTCTCTTCACGGAAGACAGCTCAGTCCGGGCGGTAATGTTATGCCCGAGCAACAATGTGGCATTCATTCCGTTCAAATTAATCCTTCGAGGTAATTTTTGGATTTTTCTTCTCGTCACTTTTTATCGTCCACAGAAATAAAAAAAAGAACAAAATTTTTTATTTTATTTTATCTTTGTCTTACAGAACTCTTTTATCCACCGGCGCGAGAAGTAGTAATGAAATAGCGATCTATAGATTACCGACTTTGGATCCAGTTTGCGTCGGCGAAAGTGGCCATAGGGATTGGGTATTCGATATGTGCTGGTTGGATGACGAATTTTTAGTGTCGGGTTCTAGAGATACGAAAATGGCTCTATGGCGTATTGATAATGATCTCGCTGAAGCTCCCGATAGAGCAGATGTGCCTACACATAGGTAAAATTGAATATAAATTAAAATTGTAGTCTCTTTTGTCATACTATGGTAAAAGCAGAAAAGCAGAATAATTTTCTTTTTATAATAGATATCATAATGTATTAATATTTTTTTATCCAATGAGATAATAGAAATTCAGAAATCTGAAACTGGAAATAATTATCATTATTATTATTATTTTAAATTTTAGTACTTATTATTATTTTAGCTTTTAGTACTTACTATTATTAATTTCATTATTAATCTTTAAAAATTACTTCTAATAATTCACTTCTATTTAGATTGATTCAGCCTGTCTGCGTGAAAGAATGTAAGTCCGCACAGAAAGTCCGAGCGCTAGCATTCAATAAAGCATACAAGGAGATCGCAGCGTTGACCCTCAATAGCTTTATACATATCTGGTCGGCCGAATCCTTCAAACAGAAAATATCTAGAAAACTGCCAGCCTGCCAGGAAAACGTTTGTCTTGCTGTACAAGACGATGGTGTATACGCAATTGGATGCAGATCTTATACTCTTTTACTGGACGCACGTACATTGCAACCAATTAAAAAAATACCATCAAGGTAAATTAATTTTTTTAAAGTAATTTAATTTTTTTTTGGTACTTTAGAGTCACTTAAT